TATATATATATATATTAATTACATCATTGTGTAGATGTAGTATTTTTGCTGCTGTCGGTGACACAGAGACCTGTGTGTTACACATGCAGCTCATGACACAGAAACACTGTATCACACCTCACCTGCACATGACAGATGCAGCACAGCTAACAGTAAAGTTAGGGTGTGTGTGTGCACCTTGTTGCTTACCTCTCAGGTCCTGCCCAGAGCGACCCGGCCCGCAGGTGGTGCTCTGTCTGGGCATGCGCAGTGAGGTGCGTAATGGAGTGTGTCTTTGCTCATCCAGGTATGCCAAGTCCTCCAGGTGGGCTGAACTGGTAGCTGTAGTTTTGTGTTTGTATGAAGGAGAGGGTAGAAGGGGAAAAGATAGTATTGTCACCATGTATCTGTACACAGAGAGACATACAGTAAACAAGCCCATTGTACACATACACAGAAGAGGGTAGCAGGGTCCTGAGTTCTCAGGCTGACATAAGAGCACACCAGCCCTACATAGTTCTATCCTACAACTCCCTCCTCTCAGTGTCTGTCACGCGGCACGGAGGCAGATGCCATTCAGCCCCTCTTAGGATTAATTAGCTCAGCAGACAAATGTCTTATTCATGGAGAGAGCGCGGTCTGACGCTGGATGCTGATTGTTCACAACATGTTGTGTGCTCAGGGGCAACGCTGCCAGTGAGAGTAAGCAACAGACTCGATTCTCTGTCACACCTGAACCCCACAGTTAGAGGTGTAGAAAGTAATAGACAAGAAACTATCTAGAAAGGATTAAGGGTCTTAACCATCCTGAAGGGACTTGACCATTCTACCCTTCACTGACAGCCGATGGGTAACCAAGTCGCCACAGTAGAACAGTCACGGACAGAGGCAGTTATCTCCGACAAGCACATTGAAGGTAAATCAGAATATTAAAAGACACCAAATGAAGCACAACATCAGTTATAACAATACTTTACGTTTCTTAGCTCGAAGAACACAGCGACATTGTTGGAACAAGAAACTATTTGGCCAACCTGAGCGTTTTTTAAAACCAGTCTAATCATCTGACTACTTGTTTTTCTGGACTGATTTCTGGCAATATTGCATTTCCATGGTCAAAACAAAAGAACTTAATCAATAATTAATTTTTAAGTAAAGTATTTATTTCTGAGTGAGTAGTATCAGAGTCTGAAAAACATCTCTATCACTACACCTGAAATACTCTGAAATCAAACTCAAGGAGGTGGGAAAGGCAAGACTGGCAATGCATGATTTGTATTACTGATATCCTCTGTCTCTCTCTGCATTTTATCCAAAAACCCAAGGCACAGTACTCCTTCCCAGGTGACGGACCTCTGAGCCCACCACCTCTCACCAGTGTAAAACTCACCAGCATTTCAACACCAATCCTGTGCTGTCCTTGGAGAATAGGCAAGAGTGGTATCTGTGTCGCTGGAGTTAAGCTCAGTGAAGTGTATGTGTGCTGCTGACTGCCTGAGTCACACCAGCCATAGACCCAAAAATGAGCCACATGGGTCTCCCAGAATGGAGGGAAAATGGCAGCTGAGAATGTGGAGGTTTGGCCCTGATGGCAACAGGGGTGCACTGGTCATCCAACTGGGCTCCAAGCAGAGACAGTGGATGCATTAATCTGCTGCTAAACTAGCAAATAATGACTCAGAGCTACTGGGCTGAAAAGGCTTTTTCTCCATCTTTCAACTGTGTTTGAATGTGAGGACTCAAATCTGTGTGCTCATCATCTCTATCTGCAATGCAGCAGGGTGCCAGGGATCACATTGACAGATTCTGTGCCAATGCACTAAGACTGCACACATAGTCAAAAGGAGTAAAGAGGAAAGAGAAACAGTGTGGACGAGAGAGCGTGTATGGACAAAGTAAAAAAAAGAAAGGGAGTAAAACTCTCGCTGTGCAGCTGAGGGCTCAGCTGCCTTTGGGCAATGACAGCCACTTCAGACACTTCCTGTTTTAAAGGGTGACTGGTAGCATAAACGCATGCGTGGACACACACACACACACTCAAAGACCAGCTGGGCTGCCGTCCAGAGCCAGTCACAGTATCAGCCGGGGAGCTGACTAGTCATCTCAGATAGGAGGTGGCAGCTGGGGTTCTAAACGCCTCACTATTCTCCTCTCATCTCCACACGAGATAAATTGAGATGATAAATATTGGACATCCTGGTATTTATTAAACAATATTATTTCAGTGTATTACAGTGAGTATATAAGCAGGGGTGGGACCTGGAAATTAAAGGAAATCAGGGAGAGATGGTGGAAAAGGAAATCAATGACACTTACCCACCCCCAAATTGAAAAATGTCATCTCGGGTGAGCTGTTAATTTAGTAAATTTAGAGAATATAGAGTGAGTTTGCTGGATCTCAAAGTGTCTCTTAGCCCTGTAGTCTTTGTCTGAGTGGGGATTTCACAATCCCAGCCTGTTACATAAGCTACACAGATACAGGATGTGGATGCTCCAGCATTTTCTCACTTTCCTCGTGAGGTATCTAGCCACAACAATTTCAGCTTTCAGCTTTTGGTTTTATCTGTCGAGGTTCTCAGATATCAGTGTGTCAGGTATCAGTGCCTCTGCAGGTGAACTGGCACTAGTTTTAACCTCTGTTTGGGCTTAACAGGGAAGTCCACTGATTTTAGTAGTCTGACAAAATAAATACAGTGATGTAAACAGGCTTATCTCAGCTCAGGTTTCAATACTACCGTTTTTTAGCAAAAAGCTTGTGGCCTTTGAATGACATGGAAGGAGAGTACAACAAAGGAGACACACGGAGCTGACGCTGTCTGGCTTGTATTGCGCTCTGATCTCAGCCATGCAAATCTCTATAGTGGGAACACTTGGTGAGGTTGGAAACTTCCTGTTAGATTAAGCAAATCTGGCAAACACTACTAGTTTAAAAAGAAATCACGCTTGGCACTGTTTAAATGCAAAGTCCTGTAGGTTGAATGCTATTTTTTCACTTCAACTCAATTTTATTAGTATAGCACCAAATCACAGCAAAAACATCTCAGGTCTACACCTTGTTGTCATCACTGCTCATTTTATATCCAGACACAAACTGAGATAAATAAACATGTAAATATCAGGTATAAATGGGATTTCAAAATCTGAATATCTTCTCAATATCATATTTAAACATTTGTTATACAATATTCTTCCACAATTTGCTGAGCTTTAGCACTAAATCAAAGAAGCACCCCTTTCCATTTTCCGTTTTTTAAGGGATATTAGCACTATACTGTAAAAGCCTTTCACACCAAAAAATGTTGGGAAGCTGTGTAAATTGTACAGTAAGTAAAAGCTGTTATGATGTTTTGAAATGTTTGGGATGCTGTCTTTGTACCCACTCACGATACTGACTCGTTGCCAATTAACCTAGGTAGTTGTGAGGTGTTCCACCAGGTGTTTTGCTTTCAGCATTACACAACGTTTTGGTCTTTTGTTCCAAACTCTTCTTGAAATGCGTTGCTAGCATCAAATTAAAACATTTTCAAATACAGATAACATTTCTCAGTCTCAACATTCGGTGCGTTGTCTATATACTACTTTTAATTAAACAGGTTTTGAATGATTTGCAAATCATTGAATTGTTTTTATTTAGTGACCCAACTCTTGTAGAAATGGGTTTGCATAAGTAAGGTAACTCTTTTCTTCTTTTATTTTTCTCACTAAACAAAAGCTTAATTCCCGGCGAGCGCTCATTTTGAACCTCTACTCCTCTCTAGTGAGCAGTATTAGCATAATAAGGGATCAAGAAAAGAACTACTGAGTCTTGGTTACTCCTTCCTCCATATCCATCTTCAGCTCTACCAACGCACTGTCTCCTTTAGGTAACAGAGTAGCCCCCTCCCTCCTTGTTTTCCTCCCCAGCCGCCTTCTGCTCTCGCTCCATCTCTCTTCCCCTCTCTCTCCTCACATCAAAGTGAGTCTCTATATCACTCTGGGGGATAGAAACGGTTAATGCCTGGGGCTTTGATGTTCCACTGCTGTGTGAGCCCAGCCAATCCTCAGCCTGTGCTTGCCTCCCATCCGTACATCATCTAATAAATCTTTGTGGAGGACAGAAACAGGGAGAGAGAGGGATTATGAAACTCTCTTTCACTCCTGAGCCACTTGTATCCATCCACCTTTCCTCAACATGGAATTCCTGTTCCTGACGAGTACAAATGCCGTCAGAAAATTCATCGTCTTTTTTTAATCTTTCTCTCGCTGCCTCCCACTCACTCCCTCTTTATTTTATTTTCTGCATTAAATGCAGCATGTAGTATGTCTTTGAAGATGTCTCCAGCTCTCTCCGTCTTTGTGAAGGTCTTGGCATTGCTGGGCAGAGATGAGACTGAGAGTGAATCTCTGAACCTGGCAGAGCTGCTCAGTGCCAGACAGCAGCACAGAGAGAGGGCCGTGGCTGCAGCGATTGGCCCCATCAGGCATGTTATAGTGTTTAGTGGAATATATATGTGTGCCCACAGTACATGCACACACAGTTTTTCTAGTGGGAGAAATATATAATAGAGCTCCTCATCTGTAACAGCCTCTCTGATGATGAGAACGATAATGCAATCATTAGGACTGCTTCGCTGTTATGAAACTGACATTTTTCCTGAGATATCCACTGGTACTTTCAGGAGCCTTTTTGAGGTAGCTGTGGCTACAATAAGAAACAAACTAGTGAAACAAATGGCAGTTTTCCTATGTGATATTCTTCTAAAAAAAAAGTGCAGTAAAAATGTCGGGCAAATTAAATCACTGGCACTTTGGGATCGGTTCAAATTTTTGTTCACAAAATATCCAGTAATATGAGAAGTTTACATGTTAAATTTTTACCTCCTGAACTGCTAGTAGACACCCCAAAATGTTCATAAATATATGATATTTGTGAGTAAATGTAGATGTTACAACACAGCTATAAGCCAAGGAACGGCTGCAAAATAAGAGGGATTTTTAAAATAGTGACTGTTAACAAAGCTAGATGGTGCTGGAATTTGATGAGAAAAACCAAAGTCTAAAGATCAGACTTTCTGGGCACAGGCCAACATAATTACAAATTTAACACAACAGAATACACTGCAAATTTCTTTCAATAGTGTTTGTTTGTTGCATTTGTGATTACAGGACTCACCGAAATGAACATCAAAACACTCAAAGGGAAGGAGAGCTTGCGGTTCAGTCCAATTTTGATAGAACAAGCACTCTACCTTGGCACCTTTACTGGACACTGCATGCACTTGTAAATAATCTTATTTTCTGCATTAACAGGAGAGAAAGAGAGAAAGGGAGAAAGGAAGGGACTCACCAGCCACAGAGTTGGGGCGGGGCATGAGGTACAGAGGGATGGAGTGGGCAGAATGGGAGGACATGCTCTCCAGGTTGCGCTCAGGGATTTTGTTGAGGCTGTAGGTGGAGGCGGTCATGTTTTCGTCAACCCTGTACAGGAATGAGTCCATGCCTGATTTTTGGGACTGCCACAGTTTCAGGTTTCCCCGGGAGCCCTCGCCGCCATATTTACCACCTCGCTCCATGTTCTCGGAATAGCTGGTCAGAGTGGCTGCAACAAAAAGATCACAGTAGTGTTAAGCTGATTATACAACTAATATACAACTATAACTGGTTCACTGGAGGAAATGCCAGTGTGCCATACTTTTAAGCCAAGAGTTTGTTTGAGTCCGGCTGTTCTTCCCTCACCTTAAACAAGCTGTCTGCTTTCACACTTAATCATTGAACCAATCTTTGGTGTATTGATACTGTATAACACTTTCCTCATTAAACTGCAGGCATTCACGAAGAACCACACAATTGATGTCAACATCTGAATTGCTTTGCGCTGGGAGCACAAATTGATTCTGACTGTGCAGTTACCACAGTTTAATTTACAACTGATTGCAGACCAGGTGAAGTGGAGTCAGGTACGGCTTTTGTTCCAAAGTCTGATTACCAACCAAACCAGAATACCAATATTCAAGATGACTGACACCCAAATTTGGACTAAAGTACCAGTTGAGATGCTGGGAGAGACACTAGAGGTGCACCTTATCGTCAGCAAAGACCAAAACCACCACTGAACAGATCTTACTAACCACTGCTGCCTGTGTAATCAAAGCATGATATGTCATTTATCTGTGCAATTGCTGGAGCTATTAAAAACACATCATCTTGCTGTAAATATTAACTACAGCTGCAAATGTGTATTAATCATCACCTGAAAATACTCCCCAATGGAAAAAGAACCAAAAAATTAGAGTGACCAGCTGTTTAAAGAAATTACTGGGCCTTTTTGCCAAGAAGAAAGTGTTTTTACAGACTTACAGCCTCTACAGCACTGCAGGTGCCACAGAGTAGGCAAGTCAGAAATACAACAATGAGATGAAAAGATTCTAGTGTTTTTATCTTTTTAAAAGATGTATAGACAAAAAAAACATAGGGAAACATCAGTCTTATCCTTTAAGGTTTGTATTTTACACGCATACGCCTTTGTTTAGACTTTTCTTTGTGCAGATCTCACCGATAATCCCGCTGTCCCTGCTCTCCAGGGTTGAGGTGGGACTGGTAACAGAACCATAGGCGCAGTCCTTGTTGCCAGCCTGTCCGGGCATGGCAGTGGGGAGGGTGGAGCAGGGGCTGCCTGCAGGGGGGGAGGCAGTGCTGCTGGTCAGGGTGGAGCACGGGCTGATCCTCTGGTTCTGGCCCTGAGACAGACAGACACAGACACGTTTTTAAAAGCTTTGTTTGGTTCTAACAGGTCTATTAGTATGCATAGGTAGAAATGGCAAAGTACAATGTTTGAACTTTGAGTATCTGAGTCATATACAAAGGAAAATGTCACTTCAATACTGCAGTTTTCAAAAGTTGAGCCCTCCTGCTGGTTTCACCACATGCAGCCAGTCCTTCCTGAGTCTATCTCTCACCACATACAAATATCATAATAACTCATATCATTTGTAGCAATTTTCTAAAATATAGGTTTAAAAGAGCGCCACAATTAAGACCGTTACACATCTGAAGAGAAACACAAGAGTGCAAAATATTAACACACTCACCAACTAGTATTCTTTCAAACAACATGAGTAAAACTGACTGTAACACCTACAAGCGCTTTACAAACATAACTCGCACAATTCACTGCACCTGAGGAATTTGATGTTGAAGAGCTAATGTAGAGTGGTTTCAGAAAGTACACAGACCCAGTCAGTTTCTGTACACGTTTTGTTGTGCAGATGTAATTTTCAGGAGTCTACACTCAATGACCCATAATGACAAAGTGGAAACATGTTTTCAGCAGTGATCAGAGGTTTCAGCTTTTGATTTTTAATATGTTTAATAAAAATGTTGTCACTTTACAGTATATGGGCTACTGAGTGTGGATCATTTCTGAATCCACTGTACATATCAGGGATGTAATCTGGAACATCAGAAAGCAGAAAAATAGTAATTTCCTTTTTAGAAACAAAAGGGAGTGGCATTTCCAAAATCAGATTCTCTACAGTGTCGTGGCACATCTGTGGCTGTAGAAATCCGCCAAGACATGTCAGAGGGTTGTGGAACCACTTCCTCACCAAATGAACATAATACCATACTATCTTACCCTCACTGACAGGCCTATTTTCATGCATATTTTCCTCTTGATTGCCATGACTATAATTAAGTTAAACATTGAAACTGAATTCCCATACACACACTGAATACATATTCTTTCCATCCCTAGCTTTGTTTTGGCACCCTGCAATGGCCATCTCCTGTGTCAACTCAGGTGAGAAGACAAGAGACCACAGGGGACAGAACAGAAACACTGCTGCGTCTAATCTGCTGCTGAAAACACCCACAGATGCACTCTCACACAAACACACAGGCACTGAAAGATGCATACATTCAGCATCCACGGATATGCAGAGGCACAAGAAAGCAGGGATTAAGTACTGTATGTGTATCAGACACCCAGACATACCCAGCCACATGCAGGTCTTATCCTTAATCGTGCTGCTGCTGAGCTCAAGTCAACAGTGGGGTGAGCACAGAGCAAAGGGGGTAAGGGTGAGGTGGTGCCCAAGGCAAAACCTAGTCTAGTTTAATCTGCAGGAGGACGACTGAAGAGCCGCACTACGCTTTAACACACACCCACACGCATTTACAGTCAGGACTAGGGCTGCAGCTAATGATTATTTTCGTTATTGATTGAGCTGTCAATTATCTTCTGGAGCGGCGGCGGCTCAGGAGACAGCACAGGTCGTCAGTTAAAAGTAGGGTTGTTGATTCTTTTCAGAAGCATTTTTGTTACATTTCTTGAAATTCTCATTTCATCCCTCATGTATGTCTGCTTGCCTGGCCTTGTGGCCGATTCTTGGCTCGTGCAAGGACAGGGCATGCACAAGTAGGATGTTCTATACACTTAGTCAGCTCTAAGTGTATAGATACGATTGTAATGCAATTAACTGGGCATCAAAGGCCACAAGCAGTGCTCATGCTATCAAGACAGAATAAAGCCTGGGTAACACTGGGGGAGGGGGTAACACTGGGAGAGGGGGTAACACCGTATTTGCGAAAGTTACGACTCAAAAGAAGTTGGATGCTGCAAGAATTAAAACCAGAATTAACATTGGTGTGGCTTTTGAATGACTCTGACAACTGAGAGACCAAAAGTCGCAGTGAGGCAGACATTGAAACAAATTCATGGTGGTGCTAGAAGAAGGTCAAGGAATAACTAAAGTCTTTAGGATTCATAATCAAAGAACCAGTGATATCTGCACCAAAAGATTACTAAACCCATCCAGTAGTTCCAGCCTAAGCCAAAGTGGTAGGCTGATCGATCATCATCCTTAAAACCACGCTGCTAGCAAAGCTGAAAATGATCAATATGAAGCAAAACTGCAAAACATTCAATGGCTAATTGGTGACTGAATTAATCAAACGGCTGCTGGTTTGCTCTCCCTTAGCCAACTAATCGATTGGCTGCTCAAGTGTCATGTTTACAGGGGCAAACAAACATACACATGGAGGGATCAACCTTCAAGCCTCTATGTGCCTACAGTTCCACAGCAACTCTGCTGGGCTAATGAACCGTGCGCCGTGCACGTCTGACCTTAAACGCAGCACGAGGGTTGGACTGAACACAAGAGTATGAAAGACAATTAACGTCACTCTCTTATGAGAAGAGGTTAAGGTCCCCTTGTTCCATCAGCTGGTGAGGTGTTGCATCAAAGACATCAGCTTCTGTAGGAATGTAACCGTGTGAAATGAAAGATGGTGGGTAGGTGTTTTATAGATATGAGAAAAGTCAATGATTCTTTTATTAGGCAAGTTGATATCTGCCTGACTTCACTGTTAATTAACTACAGTTTAAAAAAAGCTTACTAATTTGATTATGCGACAAACACTGAGAGACTTGAGCATCACTGGTGAGTTGGCAATATTAGCCGACGTGTCAATCTACTGTAGTACTCTGATAAATGCTGTCCACTGAGAGCTAGTAAATCCCAAGCAAATTAGAAAAACTACAACACAAGCCCACTCTTTTTATCTACTAATAGATGATGTCTTGAGGCAAAGCTTGTCATTTTTGGTGGTTAATGAATCAAACAAAATTGCATGGCAGAGAACAGCATTTGGGGCAGATATCTAAAATAATAAGTTGGTACTGTGTGCACGATGCAGCGGGGCACTAGTGTGAGTCACGTCTCTAAAAAGAGCCGCTTGAATAAACCTCTCTCAATTTATACACCCCCACTGCTACAGCAGTGCTCACATCAAGCACAGGCAGTCCATCAGTCTAATCGTTTATCCACACGCCTTTAGTGCAAACGCGTACCTAGGCCTGCCTGAGATGCTTCGGCAACAGGTGCTGCTCCCCCCACCCCATTTCTCCCTCTGCTCCAACTGTTTTTCTCCCTTGGTTTGGAAAATTCATACCTGTCAGATCAGGTTTAGAGAGAGAAACAGGGCATCTGCTGCAGAGCATGGCCCGTTGTGCCAAATATTGTCTGTTGCACAACTGCCAAAATTACAAATAGAAAGGTTACAGTGCAGAAGAGAAGCATTAAGCCTAACTTGCCTCATGGCGACTCAAGAAACGGGATTTCAGTAAGCAACGTTTAAAGTACACTGGGAAATAATTGTTAAATGAAAACCCAATTTGAGGTGTGAATGTACATAAAAGGCTTTTGCTCTGACCATCCTGACTTGTACAGAGCTGAGTGTCATGAGAATGAGCCGAGTCAAAACTGAGTGGAGACAAGGATATTATACAGATAAATGTCAAAACAGATCGAAGCAGATGATTGCATGTTTGTTCAAGTGCCCAAGCACAATCTCTCTCAAGAGGAATGTGTCAGTTCACATACACAATAAGACAATAAGGTTAGCATAAAGCATATCAATAGCATGAAGGGCAATAAAAAAACTAAACCAAAGCAATGTTTTTTGGCCATTACCTGTCTGGCCTCAGGTTCCTCCATGCTGTACTGGGTACCGGCTGGCCCCTCACTCACTTTGTCTCCCAGAAGGAAACCCAGGCGCGTCATCAATGTGTTGGCTGCCTCATCCACCGATGGAGGGGGGCCCAGCTCCTGGCTTGACTCCCCTGCAGAGGTAGAGAGACAGGAGAAGGAGGGGGTTGGGGGAGAGAGAGCAAGACACACAAGACAGAGGAAAGAAATAAAGAATGGGTGTCAATGCAGGGTAGAAACAGAACAGCAGCTTATTCTTTAAGAACTTCCCTTTAATGTCCTCTTCACCTGGACATACTAAACACCCAGTATATCTGCTACACTGGTCTTACATAAACCACAGCAGTGACAACATACCCGGACAGAGGATCCAACACTTGTACTCAGCACAACAAGACAAAACACCCTACCTGAGCTTCCCCGTAGCTCGGAGCTGTGCGTTACAGACACATTCCTCAGCAGCTGGACGTGTTGGCTGCTGTGTCTTCTCATATAAACTCCAAAATCCCTACAATTACATGAATCCTTTGAAACTATTTACAAAATCCCTTTCTACAATAACTAGCAAAAGCCCTACATGCTGACGACAGCTCCTTCCGCACCACTCATCACCACTGCAGCTTGTGTGACGTAATGAGATACGCCCTTTACCTGTGTGTGTTGGTGAGAGAGAGCAATGGTGTGTGACTTTCCAAGACAAAATGGGTGTGTATCTACCTCTGTATTCTGTTTACAGAGACTCCTAGCATGAAAGATCAGGTGATCAGAACCCACACTGACACAGGCTGAGGGATTTCAGTTGCCAGTTTTGCACCATGACCCAAAACAAAAATTGCTTAATGACCTCATCTTGTCACCGTTGCCTGGTTACTCTCAGTCCATAACAAACCCTCGACTGTGGTATCATGTTTTTCAATAACACCTGGCTATCATGCCCAAGAGGTCCCTGCTATATCAATTTCAATTTAATTTAACTTTATTCACTGGAGTGTCACTCTTGGAGCTGATGCTTTCACTAATTATTCACCCTACTGATAGTAAAAAGAGTGACTAGTGGCTAAATACAAACAGCTGTAATTAGATGTATAAGCCTGTGAATTGGCCCAGACATTAATGACATTGAAGCCAACAACACAAGATGGTTGGTGTTTAAATAAACAGCAACAGGACAGAGACAGCTAGTGGCAGGGCCAGTTTCCTCTCTGTTCCCCTCTCCTCTCCCACATTTTCCTGCAGGGCAGGTCTGACCAGACTGGCAGGTAGTTACATTAAGTCCGGACTGACGACCATTAAGCAGTCCCAGGCACCACAACACCTCTCTGAAGACAGCTTGTCTAAAGCCTGTAACCTCTCACTCGTCTGTTCCCAGATCTACGTACAGAGAGACAAGCAATCTAAAGCTCGGCTCCCGTCCCCGTTCGCCCTTGGACAGACCGGCAGGGCACTGTCAGGATCCTCATTAGATTGACTCCAAGTGTGTCAGATGGACACACGGCTTTGATGATGGGATGACATGTTGCTGTGTCTCAATAAAAACACACACAGCAGCAACCAGCAATGAGGTAACAGCACACATCAGGTCCAAAACTGCTAATTGCATATGAGCCTTGATGAGATGGATATGGCTACTCAGAAATGCAGCTGGATGCACTTTGTAAGGTGCAGGATACATTTACGAGGGCCTCCAAGGTCACAGAATCTCTGAGCATCCCTTGAGAAGATGTGGTTAAATAGATTGACTGTTCTATGGTGCACAGCCATCAATAGAAGAAAGCGGCACTGGCCACTGTGAGCCTTTTTATATGTATTCTGGACACATTAGCTGCAGTGTCTGTGTGCATGTGAGTCTGGGTGGAGGCAGTGAAAACTTCCCAGCTGACAAACTGGTAGTAGTAAGGTAGTAGTGAATACATTAACACTGATTAGTCAACTGCTCCTGGGGGCTTTGCAGCCGTGACCGTGATCAAACAGGGCTATGTCTGTATCTCTCTCGCTCCCTCTGTGAGACTGTTTGTCTGTGTCGTACTACCACCTCTCTGTTGCAGTGAGCTGTTGGACAACCTTGTGCAGGAGCAAGCAGTTTGTCTGTGTTTCTTTTAGAGCCCACAGTAACTCCCCTTGAACTAAACATAGGCAGTCCCTTTGTACATCCTTACACATACCAAAAAAAAAAAAAAAATCCATTGCCCAGTTTTATTGTAATCACACAATTATAAATAAATCTATATAAAGAGCTAAGAATAAAATGTAAATGTTTGATAGGTCAAAGACACAAACATGTGAATTCATAGCACTTGAATTTCATTGACAGTTTCCTCCATCTTTTTTAAACCCTCCTCTGATTGTAACCGTTGTATGTGTTGACTTCTTTGTTTATAGCTCTACTTTATTTTTTTAAATACAGACTATATGTGCTACCTCTTACTGAAGCCACCGAACACATACATCTCAACTGTTTCAAAGCTACATGAGAGCAATAAGAGATACTTCAGGTGTTTTTCATCACAGTGACACCAAGAGATCCTTCATATAATTTGAATATGGCAAAAAAAACAGGCATACAACAAATCTTATTTTCCTGAAGCAGCACCCCAATCACTCACACACACAAGTACACACTCTGCTCTCCATTGGATTCCTGAGCTGCGAAGGAGACAGATGGTTGCCATAGCAACTATCTTTGTGCCCAGCTAGGAATGTGTTTCGGCGCAAGCGCATCTGTTTCTTCCCGGCCGTCCACAGATCTGCCCTCACACACCGACAGAGGGGAAAGGGAAGCATGTGTGCTGCAAGCAGGGGACTGGACAGGGCAGGAGGTGGCATTAACAGGCCTGAGCTGCAGGTAAGATAATAAATACCACTTCACCTACAGTATACCTGGAAATTTTAACTTCCACATAGATGGCGAAGACTTATTTATAAACAATGACTAGCATCCAGAAAATACCCCCATATATTTTTAGCAAGATAGTAAAGCAAGGCTCAAAGTGAAGAATACCGTTAGGTGACCTACAGTACAAACTGGTTAAAAGGTGAAAATGAATGAGCAGAATAGGTAGTGACAACTAAAGGAAACAGAAACAAGGTAGATTCACAGCTACTGTCAGAGCTTCAGATCAAAGCAAGGCAAGAATAACAATGAACACGCAAGCACAGATGTGTATGCAGACAAAGACCTCGTCCAAAT